TAGTAAAAAGTGTTATGGAAATGCAGAAAACATGCCATATGGAGTTGACTAAGGTTTCAAAGATAAGGTTGGTGACTTGAAGAATGAGCTTGGCAGGCAAAGAAATAGGGAGACATTTGGCTTCCTGGCAGGGAGCACAGCAGGTGCCCAGAGGCCTGACTGATTGGCTTCTGGTGCGACTAAAGCCTTAATTAGCTGCAGGGTGGGGAGGAGAGAATGAGATTGTTGGAAAGATAGTTTGGGCCAGAAAGGAGGGCTGCGCAAGCCATGCTCAGGAGTTTTACCAGAAGGGAGTGAAGAGCCCTGGAAACCTTTTGAAGCTGGAGGGTGACCCAGTTTTTTGTTTGTTTGTTTGTTTGTTTGTTTGGAGTTTCACTCTGTCGCCCAGGCTGGAGTGCTGTGGCATGCTCACGGTCACCCCAGCATCAACCTGCTGGGCTCCGGCGATCCTTCCACTTCAGCTTTCCAAGTAGCCGGAACTACAGGTGCGCTCTAGCATGCTTGGCTAATTTTTTATTTTATTGCAGAGATGAGGTCTCACCAAGTTGCCCGGGCTGGTTTCGAACCCACGGGCTGCCAAAGTGCTGGGATTACAGACTGAGCCACCTACCCAGGCCTATGACCCTGTTTTAATAAAAGCTCAGAGAGGGAACGCAGAGGCTAGTAAACATGCACGAGTCTGGGGGCAGGACCTGAAGCAGCCGAGGTAAGAGCAGAGAATCTGGACTTTGCCCACTGCAGCAGAGAGAAAAGAGAAAATAGGGGTACTCTTGGAGAATTACCCCAGTTTCTCTCACTAAGTGTTTGTAAATTTTTAAATCTTTCTAAGGAAGCCTTTAAAAATACTTGAAACAGAGAAGCTTAATAAACTTTTGAATTGTTCTGAAAATTTTTGACCTTTCAGTTAGGAGAGGAAGTATTATTTCAGGCAAAGTGGAACGTGTATGGACTGGTTACTTAGCACAGTCATCTAGTCTTACAGAATTAGGTAGGGGGAAGCTACTTTAGTGGCCTTCAACCTCCTTCCAGAACTTTGTTCAGATTCCTCCCAAATGGCCAGTGACTTTTCCTGATTTGTATCCAGCATCCCAGCAATTTATTGTACATCTGTAAGATGTAAGAAAGTTGTTTCATCCATTCCTTTTTTTTCACCTCTTGTCTTCCTCCTGAGAAAACAAGTACTAGTCCATAGGTTCTTATTCTGTATTTAGAAATTTGCACAATGTGTAACCTAAGGTGGATCCAGCTGAGAGTGTTACGGGTTTGCAGTTTAGACTAAAGAAGAGGAGCAAGATTGTTTCATTTTTTTTATTTTGAAAAAACTCAGTAACTTGGATTATTTGAAGGAGCAATTCTATAAAACACCTCTGCTAATTGAGTATCTGGAATAAACTATCACCTTGTTTTCTCTGGATGCCATTAAAACATTTCTACACACAGTTTTTTTTTTTTTTTTTTAAATTTGGAGTCTCACTCTGTTGCCCAGGCTGGAGTGCAGTGGGGCACTCATGGCCACCCTAGCGTTGACTTGCTAGGCTCTGGTGATCCTCACACAGCTTTTTAATTTTTGCTTATTTAATTTATTTTACCATGACTACATGGGATTTAATCTAGAGACGTGAGACACAAAAATTAATCAGCATTAATATAACAAATGGAGAAAACAGCACACACAACTTTCTCAACAGACACCAGGAAAGCATTTGACAAAATGCAACACCTTTTCAAGATAAAAATAACAAACTAGGAATAGAAGAAAACTCTCTAGAAAAAAGAAAGACTCTTTTCTACAAGCACAATCATTAAAGGTCTTTATCCCAGCCTGACTCCAATTGTACTTCTATTGATATTTTGCTTTCTATAAAAACAAAAATAAAAATAAAAACTGGAAAGTGTTTATTTCACACTAATCCTTGTTTGTAGTTTTTCATTATAGGTATGATTACAGATCTCTGAAATAAAAAAGACATATCGGTAATCACACAGGTTTTAAAACACAGTTTTTCCATGTAGATTTCAAACTTAGAACACTTTGAACCTTGATGAACAAAAAAAACCTTACAAAATTAATTTTTGAAAAATTAATTTTTTTTTTTTTTTGAGTTGGAGTCTCACTCTGTCGCCCAGACTGGAGTGCAGTGGCCGCTCCCGGCCACCACAGCCTCGACCTGCTGGCTTCCAGCGATCCTTCCACCTCAGCCTTCCAAGTAGCTGGAATTACAGGCATGCGCTACCACGCCCGGCTGATTTTTTGATTTATTGTAGAGATGAGGTCTCGCTGCCCAGGTGAGTGAGACAGACTAGACGCTCACTCTGTTGCCCCAGGCTGGAGTGCAGTGGTGTGACCATAGCTCACTGTAACATTGAACTCCAGGGCTCAAGCAGTCCTCCCACTTCAGTGTCTCCCAAGTAGCTAGGACAGCAGGCAGGCACCACCATATCTGGCTATTTAAAAATTATTTTTTGTAGAGACAGGGTCTGACTATGTTGCCCAGGCGAGTCTTGGACTCCTGGGCTCAAGCAAGCCTCCCACCTTGGCCTCCCAAAGTGCTAGAATTATAGGGTGAGTCACTGTTTCAGGCCTAACCTAGTTTTTTGATTGAGAAGTCCCAGGCTTATGAGGCTCCATATGTAAATTCCAAAGGCTTATGATTCCTTTCCTTGAGGCTTGAATAGTTCGGAAAGTTTTTGCCATGTCTCTTGGAAGTTTGGTATACAAAAAGCAGGGAAAGTCACCTGTGGACTTGACTCACTTATGTGTGTATATTCTACTTTGGCTCCAAATGTGTGATTCTAGTAGTGATATGTGACCAAGAGATAGATTCCAAGGTAAATAAGTTCATTTACTAGTGTCAAATTAGGGTGTTAGTCTTGAAATGCCATAATAAATGTTTTACCAGCAATTTCAGTTACCTGTAGTAAAGAGCTTTCCAGTTTGATGAGGTACTTCTGGTAAAGGATAACTGAAAGTTAACTTAATACTGTGTTAATGCTGGATTAATGGATTAACTGAAATATAGTTGTTAAATTTTTCACATGCCAAAGATTTTAATTTCTTAATTTTAAGAATTATTCTGCAAGACAACTGTCTTTATGTTGGAACTACACTGATGTTGGTGTATAGGCTAGTCTATACCTTTTTAAAAAAAATTTATTTGGAATCTCACTCTGTTGCCCAGGCTGGAGTGCACGGGCACACTCACACCCACCCCAGCATTGACCTACTGGGCTCAGACGATTCTTCCTCCTTAGCATTCCAAGTAGCCGGAACTACAGGCGCATGCTATCATACCTGGCTAATTTTTTGATTTATTGTAGAGACAATGTCTTGCCAAGTTGCCCAGGCTGTTCTCGAACCTGCGGGCTCAGGCAATCCCCTCACTTTGGGCCTCCTGAAGTGCTGGGATTACAGGTTTGAGCCACTGCATTCAACCTAGTCTATACCTTAAGATGTATAATTTATACATTCTCAGTAAGGGCTATATTATAAAATTCAGGTTCATTCTATTTTTGACAGTAGGCTTCATTCATTGGATTGAAAATTTATATTTATTTCAACAGCTTTAGGGGTCACAAATAGTTTTTGATTACATGGATGCAATGTAAAGCCACAAAGAAGTTTGGGCTTTACGTGCACCCACCACTCCCACCTGTTCACACTGTACCCAATAGGTGATTTTTCATCCCTCTACCCCTTCCCACCCTACCTCTTCTGAGTTGATTGAGAATTTATTCACTGTGCCTGTCCTTGTGCTAGGAGGTGAATGGAAGTTGCCCCCGGCCTTTGAAAAGAAGATATTTTAATGTGAGGCAGATATAAACAGATGTAATAAGTATGGAAATAAAAAACTTGGATTTGGGGAATTTCAAAAGTATAGACAGTTGGAGAATAAACCCCTATAAACTCATCACCAAACTTCATCAGTTACTAACTCTTGGTTATGCTTGCTTCACCCATATTCCCCGTTCCCCCCCTTTTTTGAGTCGGGGTCTCTGTTGCCCAGGCCAGGCTTACTCATGGCTCACTGCAGCCTCAACCTCCTGGGCTCAGGCAGTCCTTCCGCTTCAGCTTGCTGAGTGGGCTGTGACTACAGATGTGTGCTACCATACATGGCTCAAATTCTTATTTTTTTATTGTAGAGACAGGGTTCTCACTATGTTGCCCAGGCTGGTCTCAAACTCCTGGGCTCAAGCGATTTTCCTGCCTCTGCTTCCCAAAGTTCTGAGATTACAGATGTAAGCCACAATTCCCCTCTTCTATTTGGATGCAAATCTAAGACAATGTATCACATGTTAGGCATTAATAGACATTTGAATAGAGTTCCTTGAGAATATACTGGGAAAATAAACTATACCCCCAGGGGCTTGGGAAGGAGCTACAGAAAAGAGTTCACTCTAGGTGAGGAGAAAGGACGATGTTCTTGTTCTAGGTGATGGCATGGGAACCATCATTTGTTGCAAAGTCTTGAAAATATTTCTGTGTGTCATACTTTTTTTGTTGTTTTTCTGAAGTGAGCACTCAAGGTATAATTTCAATGATTAGGAAATCACTTTTCCCGAGAACTTTATAAAATAAATTCACTTTTAATTTAGATAAACTAGGATAATTCATGAGTAGTGGTAATGACTAATCTGTTCTCTTTTCACCTCAGTGACTTTCTAGACTTTGTACATTAGACTCCACCCCCTGACAGAGTCTCTTTCCTTTGTAATAAGAGTAACAACCATCCTTTGTCACCTTTATTTTTATCTTTGGAAGAGAAGGAATAATCAATTACTCACTCCTGAAACATCATGAGTAGGTAGAACTTAATGATCTGAATTAAAAGCCTTCCTATAAACTGGAGGAAAAGGAAACCGACCTGTGTGTACACACTGGTTGTCAAGGGACTTTTTTGGTTAGCTACACCGTGAAATTCTTGAGATTTCAACATATATCTTGTCTCATTTTTCTGTTATGAAATGGGGCTTTCAGCATTGTTTTTCTTGTCTGTTTTCAGATCAGAGAACTGTGTGGTGCAAAGCGGGTTGGCTATTTTGGTCCAACACAGTTTTACATTGCCCTGAAATTAATTGCTGCTGCGCAGTCTGGCCTTCCTGTGCGGATAGAGAGTATTAAATGTGGTGAGTACCTCACATTTATACATTTTATTGTCCATGCAAGTTGCTTGTTTATGAGAACCATTTTTTGTGTGTTTAAACTTTTGTGGAATTTCTCCTTGCTCCCTCCAACACTTCTGTAAAATAAAATAAGAAAACTTAGCAGGTAGCTTCCTTTTTTCTTTCTTTTTTAAACGGGGAAAACAAGTTCTGAGAGTGACCTGAGATTAGTTTCTTTTAACTGACTTGTAGTTAAAATGGATTTTGTTCTTTAGCAGGAAGAGATTTGGGCAGGAATTCTAGAGCCTGGGGCAAATCATCACATTCAGTTTAATTTTCCACTTGAGGTAGCTATAATGTCACTGGAAGCTTGGTTAGGAAAACAAAGAACTGAGTACCACATGTTTTCACTCATAAGTGAATCCTTAACATTTATCACAATACTACAAGAAAGGGATTGGCAGTAGTAGGACACTGTCAGGGGAGGGAGGGGGGCACATAACATCAATAAGGGTACCTGATCCTAACCCAGGCGAAGTGAGGATCAATGGGAGGCCCAAACTTCACCTGTACAATTACCACTTACGTACCTAATCCTGAATTGTACCCCACATCTTTAAAATAATAAAAAAGAAAGCTTTGTTAGGGATTGGGGGTGGAGTAATGGGGGAGTTTGAATGGAACTGTGGCTTTTCTCTCTCCCATCCTTGCTAATCGTGTCAGATATACTCAGCCTCTAATTCCCAGTTCCTGAAGCACTGTTCGAGTACTTGAGGGCTACCAAAAATTTGGCAGAATGAATTTAACTTCTCAGAGCTCTGGTTTAGCATTTTCTTATCTTGCCATCCCTACCCCCAACCCACTGTGTGCTTGAGCAATTTTCCCAACTTAAACTAAAAGCAGAGCCCCCAACTATTAGCATTATTCCTGCTGCCTCAGTATTGGTTTTACAAATTTGTGTGAAGATGGTGATTATTTGAGGATGTGCTGAAGTCCTCTGATAATTCACTCTGATGCAAATTATTTTCATATGTTCACAGCTATGCAGGAACTTTTTTCCTTTTCCTAGTTTTGAGAGAAAAACGTCTTAACTGTCCACACCTGTTCTGTGAAGCCTCTAGTAAACATCTTAGGGTACTCAGGATTTATGATTAGTCCATAAAGACCTTGTGGGATAGTCCAAATAGCTGAGAGGGTTGCTATAGCTGGCTGGCTATGAGAGACAGTGCTCTTTACATATAACCATCAGGTGGCAATCATCATGCTAATCTTTATCCAGGGGTTAGTGTGTGCAGGCACTTTCTCATTTAGTCCTCACAACACCCTACTAAATTAGGACTTTTGTCCATTTGCATTGCTTAGGATAAGCTGCAATAACAAATACCACCACGGTCTCAGTGCTATAATATAACCAGACAGAAGTTCGTTTCCCACTTTGCGGTGGGTCAGGGTGACCCCCCAAGGCAGCTCCCCTCCCCGTGGTGGCCCTGTGATACTGGCTGCTTTATCTTGTGGCACCTCTAACGCAACAACTGTCCCCACAATTGACAGAACAGGGAAAGAGTGTCTCACCCTAGGAGTTAAACGTTTTGGCCTGGACATGACTCCAGTTACTGCTGCTCACACTACATTGGCCAGGACTTGTCACATGGATCCGCTTCACTATAAGCAGATGGGTGGGGGTGGGCACAGTTTTCTTGTGCACCTGTAAAGAGAGGAGAACTGGTTACGTTACTGTCCCCATCTTTCAGATGTGGAAATTTAAACCTTGGGTAACTTGAGTAACTTACCTAAGAACACAGGGTTAGTGGAGCCCCTGTGTTTTTAGTTGTTATGCAAAATAGCCTCTTCTCAATTCTTCTTTCTGTTTAGTAAGGTGCTGCCCATAATTTGTAATCATTGAATATTTTCTGAATGGGAAAAAAACTGGACCCATAAAGGCATCCCTTGGTATGACAGAATTTGGTTCTTTGAAATAGGTTTCTTGATGGAGCACCATTTGATTGGGAGGCTTGGTGTTGGTTACTGCAAGACATTTGCTGTGATTACTTGAAAGTTATATCACATTGAATTGGGATCTGTGGTAGGCACTGATAGTTTTTATTTCATTGTAAATGGTCGTTAAACTTTATTGTAGTTTCTTCCAACTTTATCTTCTGGAAAAGTTAGAGCTGCTTTGTTGTATACAAGAGTAAACTTCTCAGACTTTTTTTTTGAGCCAGAGTCTCATTCTGTCACCCAGGCTGGAGTGCAGTGGCAAGATGACGGCTCACCACAGCCTCAACCTCCTGGGCTCAACCTGTCTTGGCCTCCCGAGTAGCTGGGACTGTAGGTTCGTGCCACCATGCCCAGCTTATATTTGATATTTTGTATAGAATGAGGTCTTGCTATGTTGCCTAAGTTGGTCTTGAACTCCTGGGCTCAAGCAATCCTTCTGCTTCGGCCTCCCAAAATGCTGGGATTACAGGTGTGAGCCACCATTCCTAGCACTTTTGACACTTTTGTTGCATATTTTCAGTTAGACTTGAGTCTTTTACCTGATTTGTGCCCAGTTTGATAGCTTAATTTCCTGGGGGGAGGAGTAGGATTGTTGAAGTTATCATTTGTGTAAAAGATTAACACTTCTTCACAAATATAAGGCTTTCTCAGTTGAATTTTATAAATACTGATGTTGCCTTTTACCTTGGAGGATTTAAGTATACCCAGAGTTAATTCTGAATTATCTTCCTTGGTTTAAAGATTGATTAAATAAAAGTTATTTGTAGTCAGCATATGTTGAGTAAGAATGGGGCAAGGTTGGGCTGAACTTTGAGCTGCCACTTAGAATTTTGTGGTTTGTTGCTTGAAATCCATTAGCTTAATATTTGATGACACATATCTTGAAGGCCAAAGAGATTTTTCTGTGAGAACCTAATCTGAAAAGCTATGGTAGCCTTGTCACACCCAGGGCATCATATTCAGGGAGCTGTGGATGGATACCCTTATGTGGTGAATGACATGTACCTGTGAGTGTGTGTTAATCTCTAACTTCTAGTCTTTACCATTTCAGTCAATGCTGCCGCCATCTGCAGCTGCTCAAGCCAGAAACCCAGAAGTCATCCTGGATTCCTCCTTTTCCCTCACTCCTCAATAGAATCCATCAAAAGTCATGGCAGTGTGGCTGCAGTCCCACTGCCTGTTGCATTCATTTCTTTGTCCTGACAAGACCAGGCCACCTTCAGCTGCTTACCTGGATGCCACAATGGCTTTGCCATTGGCTCCCTAGTCTCCTTTCTTCGCTACTTCCATCTCTTGTCAAAATATACATCAGATCATGTTCTTCTCCTTCTTAAAACTCTTCAGTGGTTCACTTCTTGTATTTACTACAGAATTCCCTACTGATCTGTAAGACCTTGGACAATCTAGTTCCTGCCCACTTCCATCCACCCCCCTCCCCCCGCGCACGCTTGCTCTGTGTCTCCCAGTCTCACTGGCCTTCTAGCCTTTTCTGGGTGATCTCTTTCCTGCCACAGGGCATATGCCCATGTTATCTCGAGGTCTTAGGTTCTTTAGGGGTTTGTTCTTCCTCTTTGCCTTCTATGACTGACTTCTTCTTTACCTTCACAGCCTTGCAGACTATCTTCACCATCCTACCAGAAGTAGGTCCTGTGAAATTAGTTCACTAATTTAGTTCACTAGAGTCAGAAGTATTTATAGTTATGGAAAGAAAGGATGCTGGAATATGATTGCTAAATTACATACAAAACTGATCAATGCCCTTCAGGGCAATACAAGCACAACTTGGCTAGTATGTGCTTTTCTAAGATGTACTTCATTTGCATTGCTATCAGACAAGATAGCTAGCAGTTTTATGCAAGTTAATATCTACCCTTTCAGAATTGCTAAATGCCCAGTCAGAAGCAAACAGTGAGTCAAAGCAGAAGTCCATGTCCCTAGGAAGTGAGGTGGTCCTTGGGCGGGCCTGTTGGGTAATGCTTCTGCAGGGCAGTTTCCTCCCCACTTTGTTTTCTCCCAGCATCTGTTTCCTCATAGCACTCAGCAGAGTTTGTAACTATTCCTTACAGATTTCTTGAACCTTTTTGTCTGTCTCCCTCACTTGTCCAGCTTGCCTAAGGGGAAGAGGGAGGATCTGGTACCCTTTGCATTGTGGGGGCATTGTAGACACTCAGTGCATACTGGTTGAATGAGTGAATGAAGAGATGAATATTTATGTATAGGGAGGGCATCTTAATCATCTGCACTCTTTAAGCTAAAACAAATGGAATTAAGATTCACCTGGTACTCCCGAGGAGCTTTTACAAAAGTCAGCTCCATTTGCCTATCATCTTTCTCAGGTCCTGATTCCTAACCTTGTCTGTACTTGAGAATCACCTGGAGAGCTTCAAATACAAAATAAAAAATACAGATGCCTGGGTCCACCTCCAGAAATGATAATTTAATAACTTTGGGGTCCAGCCCGAGCATCAGGATTTTTAAGAGCTTCCGAAGCGATTCTTATATAGAGATAGGTTTGAAAATGACTTTCTCTGAAAGCGAATTAAGCATTTTCAAGACTTTGCCTTAACTGTGAAACTATGACTATATATGCAGTTACACCAGCAGCACTTGAACTAGGGTGCAGCAAGACGTGGGCACATAATTTAAGGGGCTCTTTTTCTCAGAGTTGTGCAAGTACTGACTCTGTATTTACACCACTCTGAAAGCAAGTACCTCCTTAAATGTTGGCACTAGGCAGCTCTCTAGCCTCATCCTAGTCCAAAGGAGGAGGGTGTTAGACAGATGGTGAAGCAGCTACTTAGAGAATGGAAGAAAGGGGGTGAAAATTGAGGATCAGTAGAGAATTCCTGATGAGGAAACCATGGGGTGAACATTTGCCCTGAGAGCTGCTGATACCTTCTTTCTGGGGAATGGACTTGAGCATGTGTGAGGACCTGGGGAAGATTAGGCAGGATCTAGAGGAGGGTTCCTAATCTTTTTGGTGCCATGAGCCCCTTGGCAGTCTGAAGCCTGTGGGCCCCTTCTCA